CAGCACAGCACCCGGGAACCTCCAGCCCCAGCCTCGACTGCGTCCCCTCTGCTCCAGCACAGCACCCAGGAACCTCCAGCCTCCAGACACAACTGCGTCCCCTCTGCTCCAGCACAACTCCCGGGAACCTCCAGCCCCAGACACGACTGTGTCCCCTCTGCTCCAGCACAGCACCCGGGAACCTCCAGCCCCAGACACGACTGCGTCCCCTCTGCTCTAGGGACCCTCTCACACCAAGATGTGGCTGCATCTCAGTATTATAACGTGGTTTCCAGGCAAAGAATATTCCTTCAATATCACAGGGCACCTGGTGTTTGTCTCTTCCATCCTGCTTTTTTTTTTAATTTGAAACATGACTTTGAAACCTTCAGCTGTCATTCAGGCCCAGACCTGGCTTTTAATAGCCCTTTCCCATTACTCAACTTACCCATCACGTTTTGTGTTAAATACCTAATTATGGCCTTACATGTCCCAATGAGTGTCCTGGAGTAAGACATGTACCAAAGACAGCGCTTCTGTGCTGCAGCTTCCTTATTGACTTTTCTCAGAAGTTCATTTCTTCCCCCACTTTCCTGTTTCCCATCTTCTCCCACCTGCCTTCCCCACTCTCCTTTCTCTGCTGTCAATGGTTTGCTAACACTTACTAATAAATAAATGGAGATATCCCATCTCCTAGAACTGGAAGGGACCTTGAAAGGTCATTGAGTCCAGCCCCCTGCCTTCACTAGCAGGACCAAGTACTTGATTTTGCCCCAGATCCCCAAGTGGCCCCCTCAAGGATTGAACTCACAACCCTGGGTTTAGCAGGCCAATGCTCAAACCACTGAGCTATCCCCCGCCCCCTAATGAGCATTTCCAAAATGAACAATCGGGCGGTGTCCAATGGATGGTGCAGTGCACATGCCTGAAGATCAGGAAGATATTCCTGTGTTACAGCCACTGCATGAAACTAGCAACCTTTTAGTTCAGCCTAGGTACTTACATAGTCCCCTTCTCCATAGCACCTGAGCCCCTCCCAACTTCCTCCATGGTACTGACAGAGAAATGACTTGCTCCAAAGCACACAGGTTCCTTAGCAGCACCAGCTACTGGACCCAAGTTCATTGCTTTAACTATAAGACCCTTCCTTCTCCATAACACAGGGTAGATCTGGCTTCTCCTGTTCTGTCCCATATCCAGCTGAAGCCCGGTATTTTGAAAGTGCCTGCAAGGGTCTCCATCCCTGCCTCCCTGGAACTGCTGCATTGGTGACTTTATCAGGCCTTCCCTTAGCACACCACAATAATATCTCGCACCTAGGCCTGGTCTACACTACGACTTTAATTCGGATTTAGCAGCGTTAATTCGAATTAGCTCTGCATTTCCCAAGCCCTGACCATCCACTTGTGAGGCACTGAACTAGCCGCAGGTCAGAAGTGAAGCCAGGATGAGAACTCTAGAGCCCCTGGCTCCCAGCCCAAGCTCCATTCACTGGCTACTGGTGCTTCATGCCTCAGCCAAAGGACAGCAAAGAGTGAGGAGGAGAAAGCTGGGAATAAGAATTTCTGCTGACACAAGTGAGATCCTGTACTGGGCCCCCAACAAGAGCCTGTGGTCTGCAGGCATGGAGTAGCCTGTGGTTTCAGCCACCAAGTTTGTTTACAAGCTATAATGACCCAGAGAGTCTGGTTTGTTTAGATGCTATAAATATCGTATGAGCCCTGCTCAGACTCCGTTATAAACACCCCAGCCCTCAGCTTTGTTTATCAGTTACAAACCATCCAGTAAC